ACAGGAAAAGATATTCATCATTGTTAGTTTCAAGAAAATGCAAATTCAAAACACAGTAAGATACCTTTTCACAGCCACTAGAATTGCTATAATTTAAAAGACCAACAGTAACAAGTGCTGGTAAGGATATGAGCTCAAACTGTCATATGTCATTTGTAAAAACAGAATGGTACAACCACTGTAGAAAACAATTTGAGGGTTTCTTAAAAAGTTAAATGTAACAACTTACCAAGTTCATAAGCAGAATGATCTAGTAAACCTACTCTTAGGTATCTATCCATGAGCTATGAGACACACTTCAAAAGAAACCTTGCAAACAAATGTCCACAGCAGCATTCCTCATAATAGCTAGGAATTGGAAATAATTCAAACGTCCCTCAACCAATGACAAAATGCAGTACACCATCCATTCATCAGATGTTATTCAGCAATAAAAAGAAACTACTGACACATACAACAACATCAACAAACAAACACTTTTACATTGGTCTAGGGGTGTTACTCAATGGGAGAGTGAACAGCTAGAATGCAAGACCATGGATTTGATAACCCCCACACACACAGAGACAGCTGAGAGAAGCCAGACATAAGTGATACATGGATCAATTTATATGAATTATCCATAAAAAGGCAAATTTATAGAGGCAACAAGATAAGTTGCCTGGGACTAGGGGTGAGGATGGGGAGTAAGTGCAACTAGGCATAAGGTATCTCTTCAGGTCCTGTGTTCTAAAATGGGATTTGGATGATATTTGCCCAATTCTGTAAATTTATTTAAAAATATTGAAATGAGTACATTTTATGTTGTATAAAATCTATCTTAATAAAGCTGCTTTGTGAAAAAGAAAGGAAAAATCATCACCTAGTGAAATCTTTGCAAGTTCTGTTCCTGATTAAAGAACAATGTAATGTGGCATCCAGAATAACATGTTCACAGCTCTTCCTGGTACCCAGGGCCCACCAGTCTCATCTCAGCACTGGGCCAGCCTTCTCAGATACCATCCTTTCTCAAATTCCATCCTATGGCTGCCCAACACACAGGTGAGAGTCAGCAGGACTGATGCTCCAGGTCTTCCACTAACTCATCGGCGACCTTGAGTTACTTAACACCATTGAATCAGTCTCCTCACTTCTGAAAGAGGACTACCTCCCCTCTACAATGGGGATAATGACATCTCACAAGGTCAGCATGTGGAATACCTAAAGTAATACTCTTAACAGCCAGGACACAGTACCTGGCAGTGAATATGCACACTTTCCAAGACTGGTTCCGGTCCTGCCATCAATGTCACATCCTCTCTGACCATCCCATCTCAAGTGGGGAAGTCCCATCACCTTTGCACCCTTTTTATTTCCTTCTTAGCCCTTGCAGCCTTTATTGTCTTTGTCTGTTTTTTCTTTCTTTGGTCCATTCCACCTACCAAGCTGAGGTCTCCATGATGGCAGAGACTTTAGCTTTGTTCCTTTCTATCTATGGAAGGCCAGTCCCAGCGCTTTAACATGCCAGCAGCAAACGTGCTGAGGTGATGCATAACTGGTAGCTCAGTACAGTTGCTGGCATGTAGCCTGTGTGGCACTAAGGTGGCTTGGGGCTGTCTCTTGTGTATCTGACTGTAATCCTCTTGGTATTTCCCTCCACAGTGGTCCAGAACCAGCCTCCCAGGAACAATGACTAAAGTAGAGCTGATCTATCCCAGAGAGTGTAATGAACTTGGAAACTTGGCTGAGGAGCTTAAGTTCCTTAACTAAGTGGAGAAGTGGGAAGAAAAATGGTAAGAGAGGGGATGAAGCTGACAAACTCTATGGAGTGTGGAGGTATACAAGAAACCAACTTGAGTGGAATTACCAAGGTGACTGAACAGGGTGAAGAAGAAGCAAAGTAGACACTCACAGGACATCAATGCCACATATGCACCTTCGCTCATTGGAAGATGAAGTTAAATTTACTGATAGAAACAATCTTCATGTATTTCACACATGCTTGCTCTGAAAATGAGTTGCATATAATTGCAGCATTTGCATTAATTAAATTTATTTTATATCCATGAAATTAGGGCTTGAACTTGCTATGGAAATTTGTGCAAATAACTATGCAAATGAGCAAAGCTCTAGTACCTAATTTTAAGGGGACTAGAGCACTTTCTAGAACCAGGCCCCAGGGATTAAACACGAGTGGTCTCTAAGAATATTTAATTTTCTCTGAAGGAGATGAGGCAGATATTCTTTGGCATCTACCTCCTTTTAAGTTAACTTCTAATCTGTTCACTTTAGTAACTGTTTTATTGATACAATGATCTTTTTTACTGATTTTTTACTTGCTTGCCTAAAGACAAGGTAACACTTCAACCCTCAAATAACTCGGCTAAAAAAAAAAAAAAAAATGGCCACACAGCAAAATACTTCATTATCATCGCATCCCTTCTTCCATCTTCCCCTTTCAAGCCAGGCACACAAGCAGAAGGAAGGCCATGGCTTTCATAACAAGAGGCCATGCACCTCACTGTGTGCCTCTCTGGACAAGCCATTCATTCCTCCTGATTAGTGTGCCCAACTGGAAAAGGAAGCAGTCAAAAAATCTGCAAGATTCTTTCTAGTTTTAATAGTCTGATAAAACTAAGGAGGATACCAGAATTCCTGGCAGATCAGGTGGAGGTAACACCATAGGTTTTCAGGCCGCCCTTACATATACCATTGTGTACTGGGGAAGCCTAGAGCAATGAGAAGGGCTGCTTTTTGCATTTAAATGATATAAATTAAAGGGCCAGAAGTTACTCAAATAACACCTTAGATAAAGTCCATAACAGGTCTAAACCTGGTTGTCCATTTTTATAGAGTTTATTCTTTACATTATTAAGAGAACTAGAAATAAACTGAAAACTCAAAAAAAGATGTTGCTGTTCCATCAGCTAAGAAGCAATCCTCGAAAGGCACTCCCTTAAACTTCTGAAGACCTGGGCCAACATTCCCCAAAACAGGAGACAAAGTCAGAAGGGTGGGGAAGCACCTGGAACCAAGGATTTCTTTCTAAATTCTACCTCGAGCCTTTGAGCCTGTCGACACGAGCCATCTCCTCCCCACTTCATCCTCGCCACCTGCCAGGTCAGTAAGCCTACATACCTCTTGCTGAGCACCCAATGCACATCCCGGTAGGCTACCAGTGTCCCCACAAGCACTCTTTGTGTTTTCTAAACACCTTCGTATACATCTTCATCTTATCATAGACAGCACTCAGGATTATCTCTCTCACACACACACACACACATACACACACACACACCCCCCAACTCCTTAGCAGTTGAGGTTCAAAGAAAAAAATGATTCACCCAAGGTCACACAACTGATGAACCTTAGCAGTCAGACTCCCTGAAGAGTTTCTGAACCACCTCCCTAAATAACTCATCTCCATCCCAATCTGTGCATCTCATTCAAACTTGTTAAATTTCACTGGGTTCATTCATCTAATCACCCAACAATTGGTGACAAAGTGCCCACTATGCCACAAGTGTGGAAAGGCAGTATGGCTCAACAAATAAAACCTCAACTAACAGCCTTGGAGTTGACCTACTTCAGTCCCAATTCTCCACTTGTTACCTGTGTGACCTTGGATGTTATTTCACACAAGCACCTGTTCTCTTAATCTACAAAATGGGCTAACAGAATTCTACTTCTCATAGGTCTGTTGAAAGTTAAATGAAATACCTGTTAAGGGCTTAATACAACACAAGGCTGCCACCACACACTGAAATATGAGCTGCTTTAATTATTCTTTTAGGTGGTGAGGACAATAATGAATCACACAAGAATCTCAGCCTCAAGGAGTTTACACTCTAATGGAAGACACAACAAAGTAACTACAATAATCAATACAAGTTTCAGAACTGTGACAAGGGCCATGAAAATAACAACCATATGACAGCAGGGAAGGGAAACTACTGTCCAGTGTTCAGAGGATTCTCAAGTGACAAATTAGTTAGCCATTACAAGAATGACAACGGAAAACGAGGTATAAAGAAAGCAGGGGCCAGCGTGGGGCAGGCTGCAGCAAACACAAAGACCTGTGCTTGGAGCAAACTAGTATTTCCTTAGAAAAATTGGGCGTGGGAGGCGGGGGAGTTCCAGGATGTGGCCAGAAAGATCAGCAGGCACTAGGAAAGCCTTGTAAAACCGAAGTAGGGCACTTCCTCATTTTTTAATGTACTAGGAATCCATTGGAGAGTTTTAAGGGAAAGGGTAGACTATCTGATCTACATTTCTTAAAGTGCCACTTCGGCTGCGCTGTCGAGAACAGACTGTAGGCAGGTGTGGAAGCGGATAGTGCCTGGTTAATAGCCTGCTGTAGTCGACCAAGAGTAGAAGCATCTCGTGTACACATAACACGCACGTTCTTGGGTAGCGGGATAGGACGGGATGAAGAACCAATTCAGAAAATGTAAAAAGCCAACCGGAGCAGGCAATGGCCCCAGGTTCCCTCTTGTCATAGAGGCCTCCCCACCTGTCACGTTCTCTACTACCCTGAAACCAGTGTAGTGAAACTTGCACACTGCAACCTTCGGTTCAAGTCCCGGCGTAGCCTCTTGCTGGACATGAGACCTGGGCATTTTCCAAAACCCACTACCCCTCAAGCGATGAGAGGGCTCCACTAGCATGGAGCGGCGGCGTATAAACCCGGCCGCCCTCACCGCCC